TGGGTGCAACGGCACCGAAAACTTTCCTCACTGCATAACCTGCAGTTGAGCCACAAGGTAGCGGACGTGCGTATGGAGCAACACCTCCGCTTTGATTTTGCCAAACTCAAGGCACGCCGTCGAATTCGTTCAAATTGTCGCCCTGCTACGTTTGAATTAACAACCCCGAATGCTTCCGTGAGCTCTGTGTCTTCGAACGCAAGAACTCAGGGTCACTGCTTGAGCTCAGCTCATGGCCCTTCAATTTCCTTGGCTTTTGCCGGGAAGCGCGGGGCGTCCTGATCTTTCCGATCAAAAGCGTCCAAGGCGACTGGGCAATCTAGCCGAAGTGACGCCTCAAACTCCCACGAGTTTTCGGAGTCAGGATAATCCCGCCACTTTACCCGATATTTGGTTTGACCCTATTGACGACGCATAAGTGGTTCCGCGTGATACGATGCTAGTCGATTCGTGAGCGCTTTTTGAACCCTCAAGTGCTCTAAGCGCAGGCGCCTAGAGCACTAGCGGTCATTCTGGTGCGTGTGTCTTTCGATGACCGATTTTAAGGTATTGAATGTTGGCAGAAAGATGAAGATTTTACACTCAAATCGCGTACATGATGAGAACACACGTCGCCTCGCTTCACTTAAAGCTTCTTTAGTAAAGACGTCCGACTAAGCATCAATTAACGAAATACTATAGAGATCGACGTGGACGAGGTGGGTAATTTCCCAGCGCCTTAAAACATCGCTAGCAACAGCTATGCTCATTTTCATAATTCTGCTGGTAGAGCTATCGACCAAACATCAAACGCGAATGATGCTCACTCGCCAGTGGGAAGTGCGTTTGCTGAAAGAACCTCTCATTTCTTCCACGAGTTCAATGAGCATAAGCGGCGACTGCGCCAGGGCTTTACCGAAGTAGATCGCCAATTAATTTCAACTCGTTACAGCCGTGTTGAGCGCACCGGCTCACTCTGCTCCGGGTAAAACCCCTGGTAGAACCAATCTCTTACTATCTGCGTGTCCTTTACTCTACGAAAGGTCGAGCTTTTTCGCTGGGTCGACCGACTAACCCGTTGCAGAAATGTAAGTGCTAGCAGGCGCGGAACTGATTTTTAAAATACAGCGTAACTCCATTATACCCCGTGGAGGTCAAGAGCAATGGGATCTAATTATACGGGTGACAGCTTCGGGATGTCAGCTGACGGCACGAATTCCCAGACCTTGTGTCAATCCGATGCGTCTGATTTAATCAGACGTGCTAGAGCAAATCTGATCAAATCAGACGCATCGAATTGACGCTGCGGCAATGATTATCGCATCAAAACGCTCGTCATGTAATTAGCAGCTGAGATTCATGGTCAGATGCGTCGTATGACTACGCATGACAACTAATCGTCGAAAGCAATAGTCAATACGAAAAGGTATAGGTGGTCCGATTACGGTTAGAGATTTTCAATCCAAACCCTGCGGAGCCCAAGCGACCATCAGTCCGATTGAAGGGATTAGCACCAGAAGTCAAAAAGGAGAGTCCATACAAGTCTCGGGTCGGCGATACAGACACGGCCGTATCGCCACACGCAAGAACTTACACTGTTATCAAAGCTGTAATTTAAGCTCATGTAGATCATATATAGTGGAGAAACATCGAATAACACAGGTGCGTCAACAGTAGCAGCTTGTGCACCGTTTTTTATTACTCCAGCTTTAACTTTTGGTCCAACAACACAGGGGTCGGAAAAAGCCAAATCACGAGCGACAATGTATGAACCGGTACGTAGATACACAACGTGTACATCAGAGTTAGTAAGTTGATCCGCTGGGCAAAGCTGTCGACAACATAAAACAAAGCAGCGATAGCATCTGTGCCAAGAAGCAAGTTAGCAAATTGGATTTATCGTCAATATCAAGGACAGCCCATACCTTGACGGCTGTAGATAAGTAGAATCAAAAGTACCAGAGGGGATGAAATGAAGAGCCAAAAACCATTAGAGATATTTTTGAGCTTAGTGGTGGTATGAATAGGTACCACACGGGCGAATTGGGCCATCGGTATAGCCCCAAAAAGAGCCATGGGATAGTTTATGATACCCATGATGCAGTGTGCGAACCTGTCAATACATCTCACATGAGTCTAACGTGAAAAGCGGAAATGTCATCACCTGTTTTAGCAACGTACACCAGCACGACCATTGTGATGAATTTTATAGCGCGCCAGCCCGAATCAAGCGGCGCGATGTCAACACTGGCCTTGGTGTCAACAATCTCGCAAGTTTTTTTGCTGTCTGATGTAGCATCTTGAGCACTTTTCTGTCGCTGTAGAGCTTCAAATGTTGTCACTCGTTTTTTCCAGTCGTATACATCAACGCAGCCTGAAAAGCTCGTAATTGAACGTAAGGCAGGCATTCCGACTAGTAAAACTAAAACCTGAGCCATCGAGATCACACTCGCCAGTATAAACCATCCAGTAGCAGGCTTCTCAATGTAGCTAAATGTATGCAGCGATCCAATTGGCGTGGCGAAATATTTGCAGACCGCACATATAAGAAGCACACACAACGCTTCGACCATAAGAAAGATAGTCAGTGCGAAAGCAACTCGCATACCATTCGTTCGAGTTGCTAAGTACAGTATATGGACCATTGCCGGCGAACTCACCAAAAGCACAGCATAAATATATTCACCCACTGACACAAATGTCAAAGTAGTAGGGAGAACGTAGAGAAAAAACGACTGGTGTAGTTTCTCTTCAAGATTGCTCATGGCACGAACGACCATTTCAATTGATCGTAGCACATCCCGAGTAGATAGTGAACGATCTTTCAAAGTCGATCTCTGAGTTAAAGACAGCGTGATACTGTCGATGTTGTAGCTGATAAAGTTGGCGTGAGGCCCTGAGGGTCCAGTCGCTAGTGTCGTCATAAAGTAAAGCATTCCTCTTAAATTTATCAGGTACTTACGCACACTCTCTCTCAACTCTAACGGAGTATACTTTTCACACACGCTCGAGACATATTCCAACGTTGTGGATACAAATCCCTTCTTTTGAAGATCATGTTCTGTATCAGCACGATTCAATAGTGTAGGAATGTGGTGTCGACGCAACGCCCGTACAGCTGTGTTGACGAGGTCCAAATTCGGTAGCTGGCCATGCATACCTGCCGTGTAAATTCCAACAGAATTGACCAGACGCGAATTTGTTAACGTCTCCAGATTAATCGCTGCTCGAATGACACCAGCACGCATTGGTAAAGTCCCATGAACGCCACTTTCGACAGGATCCACGTGGTACGCCTGTAACCAGGCTTCTGTACCCGGGCTAAATCCTTCTTTTCCATCCATATCACCATCTATTCAGAATTGAGACATCTTATCAGACACAGCGAGTACTTTTCAAAAGACATATATACTTTGCCCTGCATACCATCTGCAACGAGAAGAATCACGTCTTTTGCTAGCCATTTAGCCTTTGCAAGGTACTTGAGTAGTGCTAGTCCTAATGATAAGCTGGAATAGTCGCCGCTATCCGCACCGACGTTACGGTAGTGTGTGACAAGTACAATAGATTCCTAAAGACGATTAGTGACGCCAATTAAAAAGCATAATTTCAAAGCTCTAACCTTTCCATCAGCCAATGGTGAAGCCCGTAGAAGACCATACACATTTGTTCTTGTGTTTGACAATTCGTCTGTCTGATACACATGTGTGTACGCTTCCACGCGGTCTAAACTGCGCAGTTTCGTGCCGATCCAGTCCACAACATGCGAGCAGTTGTTTCTACAGCCAGTACGAGACAAGTTTGGCAATTCTAAGAGTTCTTTGTGGAAAAGATGAGCAATATGTGCCTCTTCTTGACTAGCTCGAGCCTCCATGAGATCGATAAGTAGCGCATTCTCGGAGATATATGTTCCACGGCATTTGAGTTCGCCTGTAAAGGCATGAAACTATGTGTCACGGGGTATAAAGTACAAGTCGTCGCGTAAAGAAAAGAACCGGTAGTGATAGTGATAGCTGGATGTAGCAATAGCCAAAGAATGCCTAAAATGTATGTCCCCCAGCTAACATGGTCATATTTATCATGAGAAAAGAGTGTAAGAAGTGCTGAGAGGTTTTGTGCATCATTACCGACAAAAAATAGATCAAAGGCAATGCTACATACCATAGTGAGAGACAGTGAGACGCAATGTAGCGAAGGAAATGGTGGAGCGCACGTCGCGCCTTAGCGCGCAATTTGCTCGTCATTGTATTGATTTTTGAATATAGAAAAGGTATCTTACATAGTATAGTATACTATCGTATTCACGTAAAGTTAATGGAGGTAAGCAAGTATGAAGCAAAGCGCCAGCGTCGTATCGAGCTGAATCTAAAAAAGTTGCAAGAATTGGATGTGGTGAAGCTACCAAAGCATAGCCACCGAGCTACCTACACGAAGAAAGTGGTGAAACACTCGTACCCTGTGAGAAGATCGCTACGTCAGCGTCAGCAAAAAGAGGATGAGTCAATAGTTCCAGACACAGAATTCGAGGCGAAAACAGCGCTAAAGCTTCCGCTAACTCGATTGAAAATAATGAAAACGGATATACATAAGGGTTTGGACTTGCCACGAACGCAACTACTGGATTCGATTAAGGACAAGAAAGCATACCTTTCGAGCTCCCAGATTGACATTGAGCTGAAGGAATTTCATACACAATGGTTAGGAACGCAGCTGTTGCCTGTAGGCAAAACAACAGTCATGCAAAGCTTATGTCGACCTGAATATATTGTCAAATTCTCTAAAATGAGTGGCATTCAACCGTGGAAGAATGCAATCGTGCTATTTGTGAATGTCGAAAGCAATTCACCCTATGACAACGTCTTTAACCACGATACAAGAGATGGACACATTGTAGTGCATTTTCAATGGTTTGGCCAAAATAGGTGGCATAAGGATTCACCGTTGGTAAAGAGACTACGAAGCACAAAGAGAGGGGATGAAAACTTGAAGTTTGATGACACGTACGATGACAAAGTAGAGATGAAACAGGAACCATTGTTGCTGTTTATTCGACTGGAACAGGTGCGATGACATACTCTTCAGTAAAATTTATGGTGTCAGTGTACTGATTAATTTAGTTTTTGTCTCATGACAGGGTCCTTATATCTATTGCGGTCAGCTTGGATACCTTGGACATCGACCTGAGTCCAAACCGCTGGAGTTTCGGTGGCAATTGCTCGATGTTGACGTATCACTGTGGAATAAAATCGGTGATCTAATGTTATAACATGAAGTATACTTTCCGAGCTTTAAGAAATACAGTTGTGTAGTGTGAAATCTTTGTTTTTGATGGCCATTCAACAGCGTCAGACATGATTTCAACAAAATAGAGAATGGTTCATACATATAAAACATGAAATGATTTTGCATGCCTCCTTGAAGGATCTCTAATCATGCTTATGAATCCACCGAAGTAAAGAAATTTTAATTTTATGTCGATCAGCACCTATTGCGTAGCAATTCGCTGTCAGGCTTGTCGCAGCCTTGGCTGCATTGCAGCACAAAATCACTATGTTGACTTTGGGCCATCAAGCATATACAAGCTGATGCTAGTGTCTGTCTGATCGTTGTAACCTCTATATCCTTGGAAGTCACTGCAACGCGCGACAAAAGGCATCACACGGAGATCAGTTTAAAAGTAACACTAAAAAATTACTCGCTACGGTGTTGCCGTGGCATTTTGTACAGGAAGAGCTTTTAAGTCTACGTGAGAAAGCTCACGAAGGGTAGATCCAAGGTTGTTCCTAGTATCGGATACAAGATTCTCTAAGGTACATAAAACTTATCAATCGCTAAAATGATAGTGATACAAAATTGACACTTAGATATTCCGCGGATGCAAAGGGGCTTTGCATTGAGTTCTATGTGTCCGCGTTTCTATCGCACAGAGTATAGATGACGCAGTTACATCCTCCCCATCAGCATGGGAAATGCAACAGAGTTGCTGTAAACCTTGCACAAAGAAAGTTTTGACTTAAAGAGTCCCTGTCAACACTGCAAAGACGTCAAGGTCGTACGCTCCACCTAGGAATGGAATCGAACGTCTCTGAACGATCTTAATTACTCATTGATGTGCAAAATCGCACAAAGCGGAATATGGGTCTTCGCACAGTTGAGGGATCGCAAAACAAATTCGCCGTCTCTATTGGACTTTCGAAAAGAAACAAGTTGCAAGAATTCTTGAGCATCGTACGATGCTTCTTCCATACAATTTACACGAAATGAGGAGAGATGGATGAAAGGTCTACCAGCAGACTAGAAAAGAGAACAACAGATTGAGCCGCAAATGCGACTGCCGAGACAGTAAAACTAACTGCTTCTGTCCCTCTTAATTACACTCACTACTGACGCGCACACTAACTCCTGCCCAGCATCGTGCGCCAAAAAAGGTTATATGAGGCTTTTCAACCCGACATGCCAAAATCTGCTTCAAATCGTGCCAACCGAGTGGTGGTGTGTTGACAAGATTCTGTGCGAGTTTCCGCATAATAAAGTTCTTTCTTACCATTAGGTGATTCTGCTGTAAACAATTCAGTTCATTCATCCACTACTTTACGCCATTCTTTTGACACCCGCAAGTACCGCTTTGTGCGATGGATGATGTCTTTGATGTAAGTGGGAGGGTGCTCGGCAAATCGTTGCCTTGATAAAATCAATGATGCAATTGTGAAGCGCAAGTACAAGGACGCCCTGGACTCATTAATCATCTATCAGGAGTCGTGTGATTGTGATCACACGGGTGCGAGACGCAATGGCGAGTGCACAAGACTTGCAGAAAGAATATGCAGATATGCGAGGTCGTCACGGCAAATTTTCTGTTATTGTTGAGGTTTATGTACTACTTAGTATATATTACTCAGCAATATCGTCCGATAGGTTTTTAGTTTTCAGAAGTACTCAGAAATTATCAGACAATGTAGTTACAAGCTTGGATAGCTCACACTATTACTGCGTCATCGGTCCATTTGTAGTAGTGGAATGCTTGCAATACAGCCTGAAAATCTGTCTAAGAACGGCCAAATTTCTACGTAAAGATCCTCAAGCCCTACGATCATGACGACGCAATTTCCCCTGGATGTGACACAGGGGCATGCGAATGTGGCTGTAGAGCCATGGCTTCGACACGATGGTCGAAGGTCGAACCCCCCTGGCATCACTGTCTCAGCATCGCTCTCAAACTGACGAGAATAATCGGATGCACCCAAAATAGAGCGAGATTGCTTGGCAGGAGGCCACACATCAGCAGCAGAAGCAGCCACAGCAGGAGGGGGAGCTTGCAGAGCCTGCTCCAATCGATGGATCCATTCTTGATTGCATCCCCAGGCGAGTTATCATGACGCCGTTTGAGATCGCAAACTTCTTAAACGACCTATCACTTATTCGTCACGCGTTGTTCTGTCAGCGATACCCGATCGGTCACCTCAATCAGCCGCTGGATAGCCAGCGAGAGGAGCTTCATTACCGTCATCGAACGCCATTTTAAGGCGAACAAAGCAGAGGGGGTACACTCTCCGGGCACCTTTTCCTCTTCTAGATCGACAAGGAAAGCGATACTTCCACGTCGAGAACATGATGGCGGAGAAGAACGACCGCGGTCGAAAGGAGCTTTTGGTGAGATGGCTGGGATTAGTAGCGAACGAGAGTACGTGGAAACGTCGTACTCGAATTCTTTGCGACTGTCCCAGTTATCGTTTGCGCGTTTGATGCGGGGCCCGAAGACGAACTCTGCTCAGGAAAGCTGTCACTACCTCTTCCCCCTCCGCCCCTCTCGTCGTGAATCCGACTGGTGACCAAACGTACTGCACGAGTATCATCGAACTCACAGTGAGCCCGATCCTACGCTGTCAAATGCGCAAATCAAAGATGCATACTGCGTACCTTCAGCACAACTACAGCGATACTCGCGCTCTGCAAACGGTGGATATCCAAGGATTTGGTTGCATGAATCTATGCTCAGAATCGAGTGTCAATCGTCTAAATAATTTTCAGATTGGACTGATGGACACATGGTACATTAGTGAGGCTTTGTGATTTATCCCCAGTACGAGTAATTGGGCTGAGGCGTGAAAACACGGGATTCGAGTGATCAGTCAAGCACCCATCTAGCTTAAGAGTTCGTCGAACTCTTGGGTAAAACCACCACGTCGGTCGTGGAAGTCATTATGACGACCAAGCTAATGATAGCGCAATGCGCTGGATGACGTGAAATTGAAACATTATTTAAGTTCATTGGTGACAAAGATATGATGTGGAGCAAGCGTATCGATTGCCACTTTGGGGGGAGTTGGCCAGAGCGTGAAGAAGAATCTAAAAACGAGTTGAAGAGAATTTGAAGAATTTGGGTAAACACACTTTGAGTAGGGGTAGTGTAATGGCCCACGTCCCAATTTAATTATGTATGGACCACATAACCTTGTGTTTTTCATTAACTATACGTTTGTATATCCCTTTTAGCTCTGTTGTTTCAGAAGTGGAAGCACTCATCAGGTTAAGGAGGTTTCAAGTCTATTGACTATAATAATATATATTACAGCACCATTCTTCCTCTTTACATACGTCAACGGCTCGCTGAAAGCGAGCAACACGCAGTGAGGAGTGTCATTGACCTGAGCTTTCCCCAATAAGTGTATGTACTCGGATGGGTGATACCTGTTACATAGAAACGAATTTGAGTTATAGCTGCGACAGTGCGCGATAGTCAGCAAATTCGTATCACCTTGTCGAGACAAACGACCCAGAGCTCGCGCTTTCCTAGCCACGATATGCCCATATTTAAGTCGCACTTTTCCGTCCCAAAGATCCATAAAACAACCTTTTCAATATGTGCGAACATGTTACTGCTGCCCACGACCCCAAAGTTCTACCGGGAGAGAAACATGTTTTTTTACTACCCCTGCAACAAGCTGGGAGGCACGTAGCTTGTGCCTTACGCGCCGCGGCCATAGCAAATGTGCTGCTGTACTCAGCCATACTTAGAGCTATTGGCTGCTATACCGACAGCAGCTTCATAGCAGCTACTGTCGATTAGATGAAGCGTCCGGGATTCTCCGTGGCGGATCGCAAGTGAGCTGTATCACCATCTTCTTCATCGAGGGCTGCACGTGGATAGCTAGGTACGAGCAAAGCTTATTGTAAGGCTGTACATCAAAACATTTCTGACGTGTTCGGATAGTGATTTTCAAGGAAATATACCGTCAACCTGCGCACATTTCACGCCTTATCTGCTTTAGCGCAAAATTGAAAAGGCATTTGGGTAGCTGCACGCAGCTCCTGACTTATCAGCAGTCAGATATGAAAGTCCAGGCGTCATCGCTTCCTGGTTTTACGCATACTTTTATTTAAGCTGAAACGGATAGCCGATTCAAATGCCTTTACTCACATCTGCCTCCGTGGTTGGATTAGTACGGTTCCCTTTCCACAGGTGCACCTTGAGTCTAAATGGCTTGTGCTGCAATCGTATAATGCAATCTGACCCTGAAAAAACTTCTGACGTGAGGATGAATCTCAATTTTATTTCGGTCATGAGCTTCCAAGGGATGTGCTGCTTTCTAAAGCCTCACCGCAAAGGCGCTTGAATTAACTCCTTAATGAGAGAAGTTTCGATGATGAATACGCATTGAGCCATTAGATTTACAAAATTTGTGTAGTTCCTTCACTTGCGTAGGTAGCAGTGACTTTTAGCGCTCCCAAGAGCAGCGAGTTGTTTACAGCATGTTGGTTGAGGAATCGTAGCGAATTAGACAAACTCCAAGTGAGCAGCTCTTAACGCCCCCTGGCCTTAGGCGAATTTGTACCTTGATTTAGGAAGATTGAAGTCAGATATAACTTTGGTAAGCTGTAAACTTTCCGCAGCCAAATCCAAAGACATTGCACTATCTGATGTTTGCAAATGGCTCAGCCGTCAATCTTTTATGGGAATTTTAGTACGTTTACGACCATCGTCGTTTGCTCGAGAGGTATTACTACGCATTCGACGCAGTGAACCATACACCAACGCGACCCTTAACATGAGCGTCCGATACATAATTTATAAACACCAATAGGCGAGCAGCTATTTTTGGGCTTGGATAGCAAACGTGCTACCAACTAAGGCAGAAGCTCATTGAACGTATCTTGCAGATCCAAAAGATAATAATAGTTCATGTTCTATACTCACAGATGATATGTCTTATCAACACTCAGTTGCCGGGTCGCCAACACGCGCAGCAGGGCTGCCGTGCACCTTGCGGATAGAAAGTTCTATCTTAAAGTTTCTACTTCAAAAATGCGCAGAAGACGGATACTAAGGATATCACTGGGACATAAACTGATCCCCTAAAATCCAGAAACCTTACACTTTCGAATAATATATCTGCACTCAAGGACTCGCTACTACATTAGTTTACTTCACAACGATTTTCTAAGCTTCTGAAAGGTAAAATATATTTTTTGCGCTATAATGCAACAAAGGACATACCCAGGTGCAGACATATATCGACCTTATGACAATAATTGCGATTCGACCATGACAGCTCGCTTTCTATCCGCCCGATCACTAACTGTAAGATGATAATTCATGCGGACAAACATTCCATGAGCATTTATCCGGTAGACATCTCCCCAGAACTCACGATTGCTTCGTTGTCGTCCCTTATAGTAACTGTGTAACGGGGTTACACGTACCCTGGTAACAGGGGTGTGTGTCACACGAGATGGGCATGGTGTGACTGCACCCAAACAAGAATACGGTAAGGAGCTATGTATTTAGATTTTACTATATATATCTAAATTCTAAACGGAAGAGAAATTAGCCTTTGGTAGAGGCAATAGCTATTCTTGGAGAAAGCGGATTGCGATCTGCTAACTCGTACTTGTTCTAAGTATAGAACGAAAGGTCGGTGACCTATATTACGCTTCCTCTAAGCGCAACGCTACGGCAGCCCCGCTGCAAAACTGATAGCAAAAAACAGACTCTATTTTGTGATTTCTTTTCTGTTGTCGCTGATATCGCTATTCCACCGTTGACATAATCCCTAGACACCATACATCATACTGTCAAAACCGCGAGAACTTTGCCAAGTTCATTTCAATACGCCCTGCATTCAAAATTGAAAGCCTGTATACAAAGCAATTAATCGGAAACTCCCTTTTTAAACTTGCTTTAACAAAATTCTCAATATCAGCTCGGTTTTTTATTCACGATTTGCCAACTTACAGCATATCGACTGCGACGGATCAACTGGGCGCGTCGCTTCACCATGTCCGATGTTTTCTTTTCTCTACAATCAATATTCTTGATTCAATCATGGCCTCGCCATCCAGTGCTCGAATTTTAATGGATAGTAATACCAAACGAATCCAGAGTAGTAAACGAGATGTTACTGGTCGATCTCGACTCCTTGATACCTCAATGTCTCAATCTAGTCGACATGTGAATGGGAGCGTTGCAAATGTGAACGGTGGACCATCCGGTAGTGGCTCAAAGCACTCGACTCGCGTGTATCTAAATGGATTAGACGTCACTCCCCAATCGTTGCTCGTGAGTTGTATCAAGTCTACAACGTCAGCCACGACAAAAAAAAGTGGCAAATTCGAACGACGCAATCGCTCAAAAGCTTCGCGAGCGATGGTTGGTGTATCACAAGCTGGAGCCAGCTTCTTGGTTAGCAATGTATCATCTTCATCGGCTGACCACGACTCTGATAGTGAAGGTTCGTCGTCTTTCGTGGGTACAAGTAAGTCTCAAATGGTCAACTCAAAAGATGTTGAAGCAAATATTCAGGATTCGATAAAATCAAATTCAAACATGACCTCCACTGTCAACCAAAATGAAGGAGAGGGGACAAAAGTGACAGTGATAGCTGATCAAAATGACCTCGACGATTCTATCAAAGAGGATACCGGAAAGGAACTAATTATGAATGAAGAAGCTGGGGTTGAAGCAATGCTATTCGGTAATCGGAAATCGATGCTGATTTCAGGTCGATCTCGATACCGAACGGTGACGGTTAAAATGAGTGAGACGGCAACAGACATGATTTTTGAGCGACGTAGTGTTTGTGTAGCAGTTGATGCACCTGAATACCACACAGTTGTAGCGAGAAACAAGCAGTATCAGGCGATATGTGCACAAAAGAAGGCAAGTGATAAGTATATTGAAGGTCGAACTCAGACGTTACAACTTGCTCAAAAGGCCAAAGAAGTCATGACTGCACCCCCCGCGACTCGCGATGCTGCGTGCGTTGCAACAGATTGGGATATTTACGATTGTGGAAAGCAAAAGCACGACACGAACGTTGAAGGGGATGACGATGGCGTCAAGGAAACTATCTCAATGCCTTCGACACATACGAAATCAAGTGCAAATCAGATCAAAGAACGGTTGGCAATTGGATTGGATTTAGGAAATGCAGGTGATCTTCAGCTGAAAGAACAAGTGGAAGAGATCGTTGGAGCTACTCTTGTCTCTCCTGGCTGCGTGCTGGATGTCGATGGTGATATTGTCGAGGATCTGCGCGCGCGAAGACACCGCGCGTCAAGACCACGTCGCAAGACGCGAGATAGACGTAAACATAACAGTCAGTACAGCCAAAGGTCTCGGCCGTTTGACAGTCAACGGTCGACAATCATCAGAATGTCTGGATCATCTAACGTGTCTGTTCTACGTGGCGATCAAAGTAGCGGCAGTTTATCCACGGATGCGTCACAAGACTTCATCGGTCGTATAGGAGCCGACGGCGCCAGTTCAGGTAGCATTGCGGCTAGCTCGCAAGCTGGTATGAGCGTGGCCAACGCATCGCGGGCTGATAATGGACGTGCTGGTAGAAGCGGTGACGAAAAGGTTGACAGCGTGTATGCTCGAGCCGACACGAATGTCGATCTTGGCGAGATTATCACCCGTCAACGGACGTCACATGTTTTGCAATCGTCTTCCCTTCTTCGTTTGGCGAGTATAGTGGAACGTGCGGTCCAACAAAATGTTTATCACGAACAGCAAGTCAAGTATCGTGACCTATCGATCCTCGAGACAGACGAAAGCGTAGTCGACACGAAGAGCAGTGATGAACTCGAAAAACTTTGGATATTCAGCTGTGCTCTCACACAGAATCGAACAGTATCATGTCTTACGTGGAACACGGCAAATGACGACTTACTTGCTGTGTCGTACGGTCCGAACCAATCGCAGTCAACTGCAATTCCAGCTGCCGGTTCCAAACCTGCTCCCGTCGTCCAACCAGGAACAGCCACAGCTGCAACGACTCAAAGCATCACCGGGACGGCATTGGAAAAGGAGGGACTGGTGCTGTTTTGGTCACTCACGAATCCGGAATATCCCGAACGAATATATCATTTTCCGGCAAGCGTGACATCGTTTGACTTTAGCTCTGCTCATCCGTACCTTCTAGCCATTGGCTTTGCCGACGGAATTGTTTCTATCTATGATACGCGAAAGAATAAGTCAGCGTCAAGTTCATTTCCACCAAATGGTTTAGCAACGGATACAAATCAATACCTTCCTGATCCTATTGCAACCAGTTCTGGTCAGACTGGTCGACATCTCGACACTGTTTGGCAAGTTAAATGGGTACAACATGGAGGAAGCGAGCACGTCGTGAGCGTCTCAGCTGACGGTCGCGTGGTGGAGTGGAGTCTTAAGAAAGGATTGAGCTCAAGTGACCTCATGACATTAAAATGTGTGCCAAATCCGCTACTGGGAAGTCTCGGAAGTGCTATTATTGGACGGTCAGAAGGTGTGCTCTCTCGACAAGCTAGTGGTCGGAGCTTAGCATTTGCAAATCAAGATGATCCGTCCGTTTACTACGTTGGGACAGAAGACGGACTTGTGCACAAGTGTTCCGTCTCTTACAATGAACAATATTTGCAAACATATATCGGACATACTGGTCCTGTATACCAATTGCTCGTCTCTCCTTTCTGTCCTGACGTCTTTCTTTCATGTTCTGGGGATTGGAAGCTCAAAATTTGGCATCAAAGTGAAGGAGAAGCAATGCTTACGTTGCACTCTGTAGATCTCACAAAGGCAGTGCTTGGTGCATCCTGGAGTTCAAATGACGCTGGTGTCTTTGCTGCCGTATCGGAAGACGGTCGGATTGAACTCTGGGACCTTTTGCAATCCACTTTGGACCCAATTGTGGGTCACTTTCCGAAAAAATACATGTCCGTCACTGTGAAATCGGAAACGGGTGGAAACGATTTGGCACAAGACGGTGCTTACGACGATGCTGATCAAATTGTGGATAAAGAAGAATATGTAACGACACTAGTGGAAGTGCCGTTGGAATGCACAACCGTGGCTTTTGCACCAAAAGCGCCAGTATTAATTGTCGGAGACTCGACTGGAGACGTGACCGTATATAGAGTCCCAGCAAAAGTCACTCATAGCGCTATAGGGACTCAGGAAATAGTGACACACAGGGAAGACCAGGCAGCTAAGTTACTGCGTGCTATCCGCTCCACCAAATACGAATAATGTACCTGAAACTGTATTGTGTTAGTCATTTTCGTGTCGTGAAAGGAAAAATCATCAACTTGTACTGCTCACATTAAAGTTAAAACTGATCAAAAACATTAAAGGCAGCCTGGTCTTCACCATACAAAACGACCGAATCATCCACGGGGGAGTCCGGATACTCGTCAAAGTGCGTATGATCACCAGGTCCTCTCACTGGAGGCAAATATGGCGGTGGTTCCACGCATGCAAGCACAGAATCCCAATCTACTTTAGCAAAATATTTATGTTTTTTTACGTCGTCTGATCCACCTCGTAAACATCCTACACATAATGACAAAAGATCACACGTGATAAGAAAAAAGAAAAAACGATAAGCCCGATATCAATTTTGACGTACCAAGTCGTTTTGTGCGGTCTTGCGAGAGAAGCTTTTTGATGAGATCCTTCGCTTTTGAGTCTATGTGCTTGGGAAAATCTACTTTGCCGTCCAGAATCTTTTGATAGATACCAAAGGGATTTTCATCGTAAAATGGTGGGTATCCCGCTAGCATCTCGTAAATCAATACTCCCAATGCCCACCAATCGACTGACTTGCCATGTCCTTTGCTCTGAATAATCTCAGGCGCAAGGTACTCGGGTGTACCACAGAGTGTCCAAGTTTTATCTTCGACAATCTTTGCAAAACCAAAATCCGTGATCTTGAGGTATCCTGCGGCTGTAATTAGCAGATTCTCTGGCTTTAAGTCTCTGTAGATAATGTGTTGAGCATGAAGATACGCTAAGGCTGTGACCAATTGTGATGCGTAATAGCACGCCACATGCTCTGGAAAGCGCCCCTGACGTCGCAAATACGAAAATAGTTCGCCACCTTGCACATACTCAAGCACAAGATAAAGCCTCCGTTCGTCTTGAAAATGGCCAAGATAATTCACCACAAATGGATGCTGAAGCTTACTCAAAATCTCCACTTCACACTTAATATGATGCAATTGCTGTAACCGCAAAATTTCACTCTTTTTCAGGATTTTAAGTGCATGGTAAGACCCGACGCCTTTCAATTGAACAAGCCGGACACGTCCAAAAGTACCTGTGCCTAATGTTGCCAATAGATCAAAGTCATTGAGTGTATACGTCTGTCGTAAACGCGGGATGTCGACAGGTACAGCGGGGGAGATAACGTTGACAGGTGCCCCCTTCTCATTGACTACAGTCTTTTTGCGGAACATTGCGACTGCTTTTGTCACGCGTGGAGACTTGTAGGCTGATACTCAAGCCAAATCAATTCGTTGTTGGTTTCTGAGCAGTTATGTGACTGTGATTATGGGACGATGGCTCGTGAGCAAGAGCGGAAGTGGCGTGAGCTTTAAAGCAGCTTTCTGAGCTCTCCGACGCTTCGGCCAGATCCTGACGCTAGCCGTGAAATCAGATGATATTTTAGCAAGTAAGAGGATAAGACGGAATTTTCAAGCTAGATGATTGGATGATATTTTAGCACTAAGCGGTGTGGCGAGAGTGTACCGTCTGAGAACAGGCCAAAAACGCCTTAGAAATACGGTGTTTATAGTTGATTTAATTGAGATCAAAAGTCGAGCATTATCACATTATTGTTCGTAGAGATTGAGAGAATAATGTTCTCACATGTCGGAAAGATTACTTTCAAAAGCAGTTGCAAAAAACATAACTACTACGAGAAATGCGATGCTGTCGAAGTTCGTCGCATTTGTTTAAATAGATGTCTGCGATTTGCATTCAGTGTGTGGTTGAAGAGACAGCGAAACTTTTGTGTCGATTATTGACAATGTAATCGCCCTGCACAATGGACTTTGACGAATGCTATGACGACGATATTATAGGATATCATGTCAAGTTTAGTTTATAAAATTACAGACTAATTTAATTAGTCTGTCTGCTTTGGAGAAAAATTTGAGACAGCTAAAGTGTGCGGTCTGTAAAGTTGAGTTGGCGGATAACCACCGTTCTTGAAAAGAAAGAGATTTCAATTTTTAAAGACAATTGAGATATCAAATACTCAGAGATATCTAGCACATCTCGCCATCTTAAATTTCTGTGATTTTGGTAATGTCATCGCACATGTATATCAAACTTTTGAGAAGGGAACTTTATCAGTTGCATTAAATTGGTCGAAATATCTTTTAGTGCTGTATGAATAATTCTTCTCACTGATTCTCATGTAAGAACAATCGTCTTTCACTACGAGACATAAGACAGCCTGTCGATAATTCAAAAATGATCCTGAAACAGCGAAGCAAACTGCGCGAAACTTCTTTTCTAATTCGAAGAATTGCATAGCTGTATTTTTCCTATGAGATCTAATAACTTCTCGCGAAAATTCAAAAGATGAGCATACAAAAAGGTTGAAGCGTCTGATTCGTCGCGAGTGGAGCTACGTGACCAGGTCAGATGCGACTTTATACGTTAAATGGTGAGTCTGATGCAGTAGGCAAGCAGTCACCGTTTTGTTGGCTGCTGACATGGCGCAAACATAGAACCAACGAGCACCAATTGAAATCAAAGTAATCGATTTTGCTCTATTCCACTTAACAGCTAGTCACTCACTTACATCAAAGAAACCACCAAAGGCATTCGCTGACTTCCAACACAGTACTCTAAACTACGCACTACTAATAACTCAAACCTCAGTGCTCTGGTCACTGCAATTCGAGTCTACTGGACCTGCGGCTATTCGAGGTGCCTCCGACAAACGTGTTAGCGAGCGACTTTGATCACTATTGCCTGTCTGGGAAAAATCAACAGACAGATTTGACGATGATCGGGCGAATCGGGATCTTCCAGACGCACCACTCCCTGAACTTCCAAAGTTTGACAAATTACTCGCTGACCATCCGCTAAATGTTGTATCACGTGTGTCACGTGTAGACGATTGGTGGTCAGATTCAGAAGCCAAGACCGAACTCCACGAGCTGCTTACTCGACTTCCACTTGTCATGGATGAACCTGATGAATAAAGCGCAGACACGCGGACATTTTCCGTGTTTGGTTTGGCATGAGTCTCCACCAATGGATCGCGATGACTATTTGTCATCGTGACATTCGGTAGAGATCCCAACTCATCTGCAATTTCCCCGCTTAAATCAGCCGAGCCGTGATGAGGTGACGAACCTGTGACTATGAGTGCTGTGCCGTTGCGGCCACCTTCCAGAATTGAGTCATCGTGCATAAATGTTGGAGATGGTCTCGCTATTGAGCGTAGGTCCATATTGTAGCCGTATGGAAGCGGGCTTTCGTCAACCACCTTGTATTTTTTTCGGCTCATTACGACAAACAGCACGATAAGACCGATAATTGCTGCAATTACTCCGATGATCGCGACGACGGACCCAGTATCTAAACTGTTGTATGTGGCAGAGCTTGTATACACATCGGATACACCGCCAGGCTTCAAGAAATCATCTAATCCACTTTTGCCATCTTTGCTGTTTGTGCTTGTGTCTGTATCACAACACCCAGGACTTTCTCCGGTACTGTTATGAGTCTCCTCTATCTTTGTATTCTTTTTCTCCCTCTCATTGCCTTTATTGAAGTTGACACCCACGCCTTTCGTAGCATCATATCCATCCACCAATTCATCACTTTTCGAAGCTTGTGAATCTGAACTTTCATCATTCGCTCCATTCCCTGCCAAAGGTGCGATCGCTACTGTGTTATCTCTGCTATTTGATCCGGAAGACTCTATCCACGGAGCAGCAGATGAAGCTGGTATACTGGACGGGGTATTAGTGGCTAATCCTGCTGCTGCATCTGTGGGTATTGATTCTAATGTATCTGGCGAATCGGTCTCACCACTCACCACAACTGGAGGAGTACCTTGGGAAATTGGTGTTAAAGGATTTGCTATAGCTCCTGCCTCAGTCGATGCAGCATTAGAAGGCACTGCCGAAACAGGAGCAGTTGCAGAATTAGAAGTGACGACAAATTCTGGAGTCGTCGCTTCTCCCGACACCTCAGCGGGATCTCCAGCCAAAGCATCGGGTGGTAATGATATTTGCGCTGGTAAAAACGTTGCTGTTGGTGTAGCACTCGTAACTGGAGCCGTTGACAATTGGTCATTTTTCCCTACAGTCTCTGGGACTGTCGCAGACACCGTCGTTTGTAAGCTGGACGTCGATAAAGAAGAGTTTGTTGCTCCACCTTTCGTATACGAGATATCTCCGGATACTGGTAGAGCTACGGGTGCAACCTCATTTGTCTCCTTTGTTGCTAAATCTTCCGCTGTAATATGTGCCTCTTCGAATGTGATTAAGCGACGGTTGCTCAGCGCTACGCAATGCGTCGCAGCGACCGTCAGTACGCCAAACGCTAGCAGTGCATTTTGTCTTCTCCTGCGTATCATAGCTGCCCCGCGCCAGCTCCACCACCGCGTGGACTTTGGTGGGAGATGGTGCGGCGTGAGGATATACCCGTTGTCCGTATCGCCTTTGGTGTAGTACTTGTGTCTTATGGTGCATGACCGACATGGGTGCGTTAAAACTGTGCCTTTGCGCTGACTTCTCATAAAATTATAGCGGAATATTATTTATGTGATATGTTGCAATATGCTGTATAGATATGAACCGATTAAACAGGTAATTAAAATATATGACAACCAATCTCTGAGACGGGTGCTGTAAAAACGACCCCGAGATACGGCTGCGAGATACAGCAGCTACAATCACGCGGTCACTTTAGCTAATGCATAGTCATTCACATAAATCAAGAGTCTTAAGACACATGTTTTCTCAAACAACAAAGCGCTCATATGATAACCTTTCTTTGCTGAATACAGTGCGTCTCTGCACTCTGTTTAATTTCAAAAAGTCTTAAGGAAAATTGTAGAGAAAAAAACCAAATTACGACACTAATCGATAATTGCTACTAAATATGTGGAAATATAACTGTTTTAAATTGTTTGATTGTGTAAAATACTTTCATTAACTTTAAATAATTGGTTTCGCAAATGAAAAAGTAATTGGGTAAATGGTGTCATTTTCAGCCAGTCATACCAGCTCGATTGGCTTTTGGCCTTCACATCTTAATCAATACAATCGCTGTAGCCGCCAGACACTTCAAATCCACCAAGCTTGGTTTGCGTGCCGTCCAGGTTGAGATGTTCATTCAGCACTGCCAAGGTAACAGCGTATAATTTTTATTTTTATTTTTTGGACACCAGCTGCATAATGGTAGCCTGGTTGCGACTGTCTGTCGACTCGTACATTTTATTGACATACAAGAGTTAATCAAGACTCTTATGACCATACTCGCGACAAGGCCTTCGCTGATCTTTACTCCCTGTAATGCACACAAGTTGCACATCCCTTCCATTATCATCTTCATAAGCTTTCACCATTCATTACTTGAACTAGCTCCCGCAGACCGCGTACTTTGCGACCAAGATGCGGGATTTAAGTGGATTCAGCTTCTTGATGGAGTAACCCATCATAGTTTGTCATGTCAAGGGATCAGAGCTACTTCGAGGCACGATCCCCACGACAGAACCCTACGAAGATAAGGGAATGAGTCAAGAGAAAATGCTCCTTGCCTTGATGTCACTAATGATGGCTTGTCCTTGTCATGGCATAACGGTACAGCTATGCAAACAACACTTAGTCAAGTGAAAATATCGAACCTTTACAGGTTGGTGATAATTGAGTGAATACACTTGTGGGTGGATGGCTAGGATGGTGAATGAAGATATTAGCTCCCCGTTTCTACCTGTTGAAAGATCTTGCCGATCTTAAAAATCAAACATAATGATGGATGGAACAAATTATACAACGGTGAGATTGCCAAGTTGGCTCTGATAAAATGATCTAAGCTTAACATTCGCCATTGACGAGTCTTCCGAAGTAGAATTTGATCAGCACTGTGTGCCAGGAGCGGATCAGCTTTCCTTAGAGTTTCATTTATAACCTTTTTGCTCATGGTTTGCATCCACGACGTGGTAAGGAATATTTTTTCTAAACTGGTGTTGTTCCTGCATCGTTTTCGTGTGATGAGATCAGTCTGGTCTCTGGAATCAAATACTGCGTGACTCGCCAATCCCCGTTACGAAGGAGCAGTGTGACATTATTGACCTTTAATTTCGTGCAATAATAATCGAGCTCGTTCACGGAAATATATTACTCAACGTCATCTTTTCGTGACAGAGGTGCAGCGGTATGTGATGAACCATGTAGATTTCCAACGAGCCTTTTGCAGTCACTATCCCGACGCTAACGCTGTCGTGACTGCATTGGCAATATCCTAAACAATCATTGCACTAGACATCATGATCATGTGTGGTCTAGCTCCGTGATCAGTCAACGTTTACTTCTTTTACCATCTTAGTCCGAGAAACCCTTTGACAGGAGTGAGACCTCCGTGCGGAATGTTCTGGTGAGTCATATCCACCAGTAAAAAATCAACTGTCAGGTAATGTAATATTTATTTGGGCCTTATTGGGCATATGTAAAAGTCCAACCTGACGATATATTCTCTCATAGTCCGTAGAGCATTTTGGATGTAAATATCCGCTTTGGTATATGCATTTTGGTGGCTCTTGTGTGTTCATGCCGTCGACTTCCCTTCAAATGAATATAAATGAAACTGAAAAAATACTATGTCTCTATCTCTCAATGTTTATTGCTGTCCGTAACGACTGCCGCATCCATGAAAATGATGGACTTATCCTCTCTAAGAAAGGTACGGAATGGTGTTGTGACAGACTCAAAGACAGCCTCCTTGATGCACCAATACTGGCGTTGCCAGCCCCCGATCGTCCTTTTAGTACGCTTCGGGCTTTGCCATCGGCTTTGCACTGCTACAAGCAGACGCCGAGCGGTGAGATCGGATGATCACGTTCAAATCTTGACAGTTAAAGGCTGCAAAGAAGAACAACCCAGTCACGACAAGGAATATCTTGCAATGAAGTATGCACCTGTCAAGTTCGGTGTGCACCTTTTACGCACTGCGACTCAGTCGCCTCGCCTCTTACAGAGGAAGTTTAGATGGCTCTCATTCCTTGCAGGATATAACTTAAAGGTGAAGTATAAGCCAGGAAAGCAGAATGCGTTGGCTGATGCGTTGTTACGCAGACCGGAATATGAGCTTATTGATATCACGACGGTGACATCGTCAGTGACAAATTTGATCCGAGCCACATACGCGGGTGATGGTATGTGTGTAGCGCTGCCACACGCTCTCAGAAGCAAGGCGTTTGGGTCACACCGATATTTGTTAAATAACGGGCTGCTGTATTATAGCACCGATTTGACGGACACGTCACAAAATGTGGTTACTCACGATGAAGATTTGAAATACCGTATTCTCCATGAGGCGCACGACACCACTTAGAGGTCATCTCGGTCGTAAGAATACGTACAGCTCTGTGAGTTGCCAAAACTGGTGGCCCAAACTGTACAAATGGACGAGCACATATATGCGCACGTGTGAGACGTATCAGAGGGTTGTACATTTCAGAATACGGCAGCGCCGCTGGCCAGTTTATCGGTACCCTCTAGGCATGAATACGGACTTCGTGTTTGGCCTGCCGAAGGACTCAGCGGGCAACACGGGTGTTGTGGTCTTTGTGGATCGTTTGAGCATGATGGAACATCTTGCGGTAGCGCTGAACACCATCGACGGTGTGGGTACAGCGACGCTAGTGTCTTTCGACAACATGAACTTCCGGAGTCAATTGTCTCTGATAGAGACCCGCGCTTCACTGGAAAGTTTTGGTCTACAATCTTCATGGTGCTGGGAACCAAGTTGACAATGTCAACAGCGGACCATCCGCGGACCAATGGTCAGACTTAGCGCGTAAATCGCATCGGTGAAGACTTTCCTTGCAGCGTCTGCGCTGAGACGCCGAAGCGCTAGAGCGCCATGTTGCCCCTCGTAGAGCTTGCTCTGATTAATGCAGTGCATTCACTACCAGCTTCACACCATCACACCATTCTACGCAAACGGTCCAATCCTCGTGTCCCGCTGACGCCGCAATCCCATGACTCTGGGCTTGGTGGTGGGAGTAGCCGAATGGCTAGCAGATGCCAGCCCCCTCACTGTCCGTAAAGTTGTCGATGACGTACTGTCTTCCCGACAGAGTGTCCTACGACACGTTCGCGATGCGATGGCTGGAAGCGAAGACATGCAGAAAGAATATAAAGATGGAAGAAGCAGACTAAATGTGGAAAACCTTGAAGTCGGAGACCTAGTTCTATTAAACGCTAATCCTTTCTTGGCATACAGTCTCTGCTGTCTTTAAGGCAAAGTAAACCTTTCTTGGCATACAGTCTCTGCTGTCTTTAAGGCAAAGTTCCGTCCACGGTTAATTAAGCCTTTTAAGGTCGTGGCTAAGCCAGGCCTCGCGTATACGTGGAGCCTTCTGAGAGAAATGCGGACCCACCCCGGTGTTTATGTGGTCTTGCTTAAGTCGTACCAGGATCCGGCGCAAGTGAACGCGAAAGCGTTGGAGCCGGGGCGGCGCTCAAAGGCGTTCGGCCACCCAGAAGCTGAACCAGCAACTTGTTCTGAGAATGAAGTGCAACAATTTCCGTTTTCAACGGCACAAGGCGCTCCACCGTCGCACGAATTGACGCATATGTCTGCACGACGGCTACGAGCCGCTCCGACAGAGCGCGATAGTCCTCAATGTGTGGCAGTCGATGAACAAAGTGCTCTCGAGGTCTTCCGCATATCGGTAAGCTATCTCGGAAAGATGTTTGGTTGATTGCCGACGACGACATACATTATTCTTTACCGCTCGAAGAGCATAGCGAAGCACCGGGCGGCGATCGACCAAGTCGTCATCGCGCCCCGCCGACTCTTCCTGATGAGAATGGTGGTGTCCACTATCACGTGGAACGCCTTGTGGGTCGACGTCGTCGACAGGGTCTAATCCAATATGTTGTGAAGTGACGGGGATACCTAAACTCCGAGAGCTCGTGGGAGTTTAATGTGCCACTTTGGCAAGACTGCCCAGACGTCGTAGACGCTTATGATCAGAAGGATCATGACGCTTTGGTCGTTGTGTGTCCCGCGCTTCTTGGTGGTAGCCCGGGAAGCCGGATGGTCATGAGCTAAGCCTAAGCTATGGCTCTGAGCTGCTGTGGTTGTAGACTCTCCCGTGTGATAAACCACAGAGCTCGCGGGAGCGTGATGGATTGCTCCATATGTCGCAGGACGACAATACGCAGAGTTCGCGTTGCGCCTTGAGTTTGGCAAATCTAAAATGGATCTCAACGCGGATGTCCAATCCTTGTGGCTTCGCTGTAAAGTAGACAGCAAGGAAAGTTTCCGGTACCGCTGCACTCATCGCTCAAAGATCTCCTTATCACCTGCAGCGGTTTCGCCACGGGCGATCACCACAGGTATAATTTGCACACAGGAGCACCTCCCTTTTATGCTCGAAGTCGAGCGCGTTACCGATCCATTGGAATTTCTTGTGGTACAAAAAAGCAAGCTCGGAGAGCTTTTCGCTAATCATGCTTATCTTGTGTAGTGACCGGGGGCTCGACTACCTATTCGCCTAACAATCGAGTTATCGCGTCTTTTGCATCAGTAGTGGGATCCGCCGAGCGGAAGCAGGACCAAGTGTCGATATGAGCGCATGAGAGCCGCCCTGTGAGCAGCCTTCAATAGCTACTCTTGTGCCTCGTCGAGGGGATTGGTAACAATACCATTACCCCCCAGAAGTCAAGAGGTCGGGTGAACGAACACGGTTTCCGCAAGGTTTGAGCTTGGCCCACGTCGCGCCGTTGGCTCACCTCATTCTCCTCGACAAGAAAACCTGTCGCCCGGGGCGGGCGTGATTTGTTGCACTCGGTTGCCGAGGGCTTGAGATGTGCTTCCCGTGAATCTGCGAACGTACTGTCCGGAGATGCAGCCGGGCAGGAAGAAGAGGAGCTTTGCCCGCGGGCGCCATCGAAAACAGTTTGGCTGGGTGTTTTGCGTGTCGTAGACAAAGAATATTTAACGATGTTTTCAAGAGGTAGCGCTGACTCAGACACGCAAGCCTCGTATGAGGTGACAGTTGAATGTGAATTGCGGATAGTCACAATTTTGATAGGGAGAGTGTATCGGGGTTACGCGTACCCTTGTATAAAAGGGCGGGTTACAAAAGATTGTGACAGTACATAGGTGTGGCTTACACAAGCTGGTGTAATCACACAATGGTGTGGCTGCACCGTAACAGGACATTAATTAGGGTTAACTATATTAATGAGGCACTATTATACTAATAAGGAAAACCCAGGTTTGAGATGCTGGCGGCTCTGTCACAACTAAAGCAATCAAATACAGTTTCAATTTTGAACGGGAGAGCGTTTTTACCTTGTTTAAGGTTTTTGAGTACTTTGGAGGCAGCGCGGATTGCGATCCGCTAAACTCGTACTGGCTCTCGTAAAGAAGGTAAGGTCGGTGACCTTAGCATGGCTTCCTCTAAGCACAGAGCTATAGCAGCCCCGCTGCATAAAATGGATATGGTGTAATTATGATGGTGCAGATTAAGCACAAAAAGCGTAGTGTTGATATATCGCTCAAAAAAGGCCATCAAAATATTCAGTAAACATTTACGCTGACATCGTCAAGTTTGAGTTCATCCGAGGGTGTGATTATCCAGTCATCTAAGTCGATTTTTGGGTTATGCGCTATGATCGATACGCGATAAGACGGCGAGTAAGGCTCAAGCTTGTCCTCAATCTCGATGTTTTGCCTTCATTCGCCGCAAAATTTGCTTTGCTGTCATCTTTTTGTCGATTATGATTCCAAGAAAACATTTTAACTTGTCAATACGTGCTTAACAAGGACTAACAAGACTCAAGTGTTTTCACTATTAAGTACATCAACAAACTGGCAGCATGTCAGGAACTTTACTGAATATGTGTTAACAGACTTTTAATGGCAAACATAATATTATTTAGTAAACAATTCTTTTCATACTGGACGAGCTTATGTCAGTAGGAAAATTGGTCGTGCGTCCATCGCAAAGAACTCGGTATAAGCTCTGCATAGCTCACTTTGCTTGGTAAACTAATTATCCTACGACTCATTTTTTTCCGTCAAACCGCTTACTCTCCATAGTAAAATTAGTTTATGCATGTTAAAAGCTTTAAATTAACTGCATCATTTAAAAATATATTTGCGATAATGATTAGAAACTCAAACTGAGTACGTCTTGAAGAGGTTGCTGCAGTCGAAATCACAAATCCTGAAGTTATTGCATTATCATATTACTGCTCCCAAATCAAGGGCAGGTCGTTTATCTTAGCTTATAAAAATAGGATATTTACTAGGCTCATAGCTGATGAGTGTGGCCGTCTGTCCTTACCATTATTAATGTAGATTCAAAACATCTCGTCAAAACACGCCAATCACTGAAGAAATTTTATCGCTTGTCGATTGCTTTGTGATTCATGCAAGGAGGAGCAGCACGCGCTTTTAGCTCAAAAGCCTTGTAAAAAGGCAATGCATCAGTTTCATTGCTATTATTTACGCAATTAAAAAAATTATATTTGTAAGCGATTTGACAAGCTGTCACACATCTTGATCGTAGACCATTTGCAAAAATAAAATAGTTTTGTCACGTGCTGAACGCGTTAAAGTATATCTTTTCAATATTACCGGATATGACAGCCACCGATATAACTTGCTAAAAGACTGGTTGGCAAAATAAACTTGTCACGCATCTAGTGCTCCTGATTAGGGATCAGGCAACACCAATTTTAATGTAGTTTAGTGATGGAGCTCGAAGCGAAGTTGCTGGAAGAGCCGCGAAAGCACTCAAAACCACTTAAGCATATTGCGAGGAGATTGGCCGATCCAATTCAAAAAAGGAATAACGTGAAAAATCTGCCAACGCAGGCGTATGTTTACTACCAGTGATTTTTCTTAGGCTAAACGGACTCACACTGCACCCGCTTTGACAATCGTACGAATTTCTACCATCCTTGACCTGCACTTTTTAAAACTTCACGTTTCATCAAAGGTAATGTTTTATCGTTATGACGATGTTGAGCACGATATTTTTTGAATCGACTCCAAACCCACACCGGTAGTGTAACAAAGCATCAGGCGAAGCATCAGGCGATTATCAAAGTAACACGTTTAATAAATGAGATTGAGTCAGAAAATATTTTCAACGTTTACATCTGACTATCCAGGGGTTTCATAGAAGCGACAACAAATGAGCGCAGAACTGAGCCCTTTTGCCCGATTTTACGATCTTCCGAATAGATTTACGACGATAGCTAATAGAAGGTAACACGCTTCCACCCACGACATTTTGCTTTGAAATAGTAATTTAATTTTATTCCCTCGTTCCCTTCTGCTGGTAGCTGAGCCGGCGTTTGTACGAACTAATGAGTTGTTACCTTTACTCATTGCCTTTACATAAAGACAAGCAGTCAGCGTTGTTCGATGCCAAATCGCTTGTGCAAATTCCCAATTAAGTCCACTAGCACTCGACAACAAATCGAAGGGCATCTCATGCGTGGCAAAGAGTAGATAACAACTTACTTCGAGCTTTCGTGTTTTCCAAATACTTTTCCAACCGCGCGAGATACCAATATAATAGAAACGAAAGACAAAGATGAAAGCCAGATTGATATTTTCCGCAACGTTCGAGATTGCTTGCCCTGTCTTTTCTGAAAGGAAGTCGACGCCGAAAACAACAAGACAAGAAAGTAGTATAGAGATCAAATCTGTAAAGATCAGGACTTCAGCTGCGTAAGTGAGGCATATGACAGAGCGCACTTTAAACCTTTTGTTCAAGTCGTACCCAATGATGGTGATTTGTAGTAAAAACGTCAAGACACAACATGCTTCAGAGATGTCATTGGTTGTTTCCACAAAACCTTGCTCAGATCTTGCGAACGGAATAGTCACAATGGTACCTATTGCTCCTACAGACAGCAGTAAAATGACTCGTCTCTCTCGTCGCCGTTTTCAGTAAAACATTGTGAGATAAAGCAGTAACGTGTAGTTGAGAAGCAGCACTACGGGCAAAAACGCCTCTTTCGCTAGTTGGTCGATTTGGGTCTGCGTCACAGACTTCCACATCCTCACTCAGTTTTCGTCACAGAAACGCGCCCGAAGGTGGCCTACTACTCAATGCCCAGCCGTTTTGATCAACGTCTAAAATTGGACCTTGTTTAATATTAATGAATTAATTCACTCGCTGTGTATCCAACGTTCGAGATTCACAGAATAGCAAGCCTGTCATCAATTGCAATTGCTCGCTACAAGCGGATCTTCTATAGTTATACTCGCAAGCTTCTAGTAATTGGGGCTGAATATAAGTTTGTTGTTTTTGTGATATGATAATCGTGCCTAAACGACATGCAGTAAGCTATCAACCGCACCTTCGCGTCCAAAGATCATCTTGGTGATATTTTTTCAGACAAATTGATCCAAATCCCCTTAATTTTCAGACGCCCTATACGCAGCCGCTTATTTCCAATTTTGACTGCAGCCATTTGATAATTCACCCAACAAAATTCTGTCAGGTCGAATAGGTTTCACGTGCCACGCCCCACGATCAAAATATTTCTAATGCCCCGACAGACATTTTTGAAGCTCTTATTATCTCTCCATTTCTCCATTTCTCAATTGCAGCTATACGCATGCTACAAATCTACGACGACTGCATCGATTTTTACTTTGATCGATCTGATTTCGACAATCTGGAGTAGAACACAAGCTCTGCTTACGGCGCATCCAGCTGTGAGAACCCATTAGACCTGAGTTATGGAAACACTTCAGGCAGTATAAATACGACTGGTTCTCTCAAGCCTGTAAAAAGAGGTAGCTAAGGTTTATCGATGTACTCCGGAATTATTCATGGATGAGTGATCAGGTGATGCTATGGTATCATAATCATCCAAGAACTATATTTGCTACCTACCTGATAAGACATACAAATAAAAAAATTCAGTCAAGAGCGCACAATAAGGCTGTGGACAAAACGGATACGTTTTTAATCTTGACGGGTTTGATCGTGATCGTATCACACTCTACGGTTCTAATGACAGTTATAGACTATCAGAACAGGAATCTAATTCCATAAATACTTATTCTCAAATATTAACCGCAATTTCAAATTTATATGATAAACGACAGGTCCTTTGGAATTAGCAAAACTCACCTTTTTTGTTTTGAATATGAAACTCTATTATATTCCCAATACTGGATCCATTGGAGCATTAGTGCTCTATAATAAAGATCGCGAGTTAGACCCAATATAATGTGTTAAAAAGTGAAAGAATAGTTTGCTTCGTAGATCGACATCGATCCCTTTCAAGATCAGAAAAAACGATTTGATCGGTTTCAAAATCGTTTCACATAATCCAACATCGTGGCAAATGGATTTTGTTATCTGGGAAAAACATCCAATATTGACTGCTATCAACATCAATTCAAGGCAGGGATCCGCGAAGCTGCAGGTTTAAATTAAAACGTTTTGTCCGCCTTGATACAGTGACTGTTTTGACATCAGATAATGGTAGCGACTTCATGAGCACACAAGCTCAAAACAACGAATCAGATGATCATGTGACAGTAGGAAAATTGAGATTTTCAACAGAACGTTTAAACAGAGGCTTACAAAAATCCTCCCGGAGGAGATAGCACACAAACTAGTATCGGATATTTTCGAAAACTACAATAGCACTTTTCATCGATCTGTTGAGATGACCCCAAATGGAGCAAAAGACAAGATGATGAAATCTGAGCTAAAGCAAAAATAACAGGAAGCAGATTATATTTCAAAATGAAATGGAAATCGGGTCAAATGAATGTTTGACAAGGAAGCGACCAAGCGACCAAGCGACCCTATGGAGAAAGGCTGTGCACGAAAATTTGTATTGATGGTTATCAGGTCCAGATCCGCTCAAAAAATGGTCATACGCTCTATAAGGCGCCGAATGATATAAAGATGGTTCAATGCGAGACGACAGACACAACTGATAATCGGAGAGACATAATTAAAGCTAAGAAGATCTTAGACCATAAGAGTATGCGATCTGGTAAGCTCGAATGTTTAGGTCAATGGGTTAACAATGAGCCTGATGTCTGGGAACCTCAAAATATTTTCCGATTGGTAAATTAGGAATCGGAAGTCAACGCTAGAAAAAGAGAACTGGACAAGAAAACACATATGAGTCTGTAGCTTTGTGTAAAAATATAGTAGAAAAAATCCTCTGTTCTAGCTACTTATTTTTTAATTAGATTTTTGTTATATCGGACTAGATATATGTGTGAGACCAAATCAATTAATGTCAAAAATCAACGTGAGCTTGCGATAGCTGTGAATCATTCAAGAGGTAAGTAAAAGCAAGCGGTTCGGAGGTAGGACTGATGGCGGGTGGTTGATAGATCTTGATGCATCAGCATGGAAGACATTTATGGTGTCCCTTGGTATTGCATTAAACACCGCTACTTAAATCTGATCAATGAGCGAAACCAAATATGTCATTCTTATGCACCATCGCGATTCTGTGACGCCGAGTTTGTGGTAGATGATAGATAATTTATGCTCTTAATGATATACAGGATTTACCATGTTCCCTGATTTCGAATCGCTCGCTTTAGAGAGCAGAAACGATAGGAGCTTCTTGAAAGAGTTCAACGTCGTGTTCGTCAAGCGGACGATAAGCGGGATATGTACGCTGGTGCGTCATGGCCAGGCGATGTGGCAAACCCTATCACAACACCCGAAGAAAATATAGACTGATATTTCTGTCGCGAAACTGTTGGCATAATCATCTTCTCTTTTTTATATCATCCAAGATATTAAAAAAGCATTAGATGGATATTACCAATTGCTCATGAGAGGCGTCTACTAACGTAAGAAAATCAATTGAATTAATGGTTCGCACGGTTTGCTCGACGTCGCTTCAGCACTTTCAACACGGTGCCATTCGACATGAGCGACAATTGCACCAGGCGATCGAAATCGAAGCCTGCAAGCTGAAACAGGACATACTGACTCAACTTCTTCTTCGGATGACGATCCAGATTCCTGGTCCAACACATGGTCCAAATCTTTGAAACGAAGAGTAAAGCCAGGAAGAACGGTACCACCGTCTAGATCTCTCCACGCGCTGTTAACGCGTCGAACAAGACAATTTTGTCGGGTGTATTGCTTGTATTCGTACATGATTCTGTTTTTTGGATCAGTGAGCCATCCCAATTGCACACCATGAGGAAAGTACTCGAGCCGCATCTTGTGATCAAGAGCATCAAGCTTGGAATGTGGACCTGTGAGTATGTCGATTTCCACCACGAACGTCGGAGCAAAATGTTCTCCACCACGATTCCATCGTTGAGCTTCAATCAGCTGCCTTGCATTATGTCGAGGCACATACGCCACATCAGGGATTCGAAGCGTTGTGCCATCCAGCACGTATTCACCTTGAGCATGGCACTCTTCCACCATGGCCATTCTATGTAGCCCATTGATGCAGCATCGTGCAGATGTATGGTCCAATCATACATCGTCCGAACACCACCATTCGGAATGGAACAAGCTGGTCTTCGTCGATGAAGAAGCCAGGCTGCTCGCCAAATGTTGGATGGACCAACGGACTGATCTTCTTCACGTGCCGATTTAGCTGGGACACACCGGCGTAGACCTTGACAAGACACAGAGTCTTCTTCGACTCTAGGTCACGCACCAGTCGCGCAAGTAAGTCTTCGTGGTCTTGCTCCTTGCCGTTAACTGCGGTCATAGTTGCCGATGTTGTACTACATCGCAGCTGGTCAGAGAGAAGATTCCAGGAATGTTACTAGTGGTAAATTACATTAAGGAAAAAACAAGGGTGTAATCTCGCTTCTCTGGTTAATCAGTGATTAGACACTGGCGAGAAATCGCCCAAATATGTAATATAATATGAGGGCTTTGTTGTCGAGTTGAGCATCCCCAGAAGTGTCAATTTTAAAAACTTAGAGAACGAACAAAATGCCGAAGAGTATTGATGCACCTTGAGTTTGTTGGCTTATCACTTATAAAATCGACAAAATGGTTAAAGAAGATTCAAAAACTGAATACAGCTCTTCCAAGTAATGTTTGAAAGATCTTTTGAAAGCAAGAAGGGAATATTTTTAGCATCATTCCAATATTAATTACCGATGTATATCAATTGAGGTCAGTCACTTTATGCCATCTTAAGCGAATCCTGCTATTCGAAGTACTCGCTAGCCCTCTCACAGAAATTTGTTCTGAACAAAGTCTTAATACGGTGTTACCACCCATAGAGGCATATGACACTTTTGCCATACGACGACCTCTACCGACGCTTTTCAACGTGACAGCGATAGGGACGCGTATCATCAAAGTTTGAGTGGCGTGTGCGAAACGGCCGGCATATCGCACCAAATGATCGAAATCAAGAGTTTAGAAATTAAGTCATGCAGACGACTAAAGCGAACATGTCCTGTTAAAGCCCGATTAGCTTCGAAAGCCAGTGTAATAAGCCAAGTCCATAACAAAGCCTGAGTATTAGATCAGTATCATCGTTGGTTTCTACTACTTCTCGCTGAGATTATCAGCGTATCTGTCGAATATCTTGCGATCATCTGGTCAGATATTTTACACTTTAGAGCTTTTCAAGACTCCGAAAGATACTCATACCCCCGCATTTCGCCGGTGATTAGGACCGTTCCGACTCGCGGACACCAAGATGAAAGAAAGCCTTTGATCCGAAAACATAAAAATGGTGTTTTTGAGCTCTGGAATACTTACCATGAAGTTAGTTTTCTCATCGACATCTGTAAAATCTTTGGCCTGCCATACATCAGCAGTATTACATGTACTGGATATCCTTTCTGACAGATGCCTGACAAGTTACCGGTATATAAAAGTAATGAAGGGTTTTTTGCAGTGTGACTTAAAAGAAACATAACATATAATTAAAACATGGGTATTAAGTGTCAATATAAATGTGGATCTTTCGACTAAAATTTAGGTCTTGTGCTATCCGTCATGGTTCCCCCGCAAAGTCTCTCGACGACTACATCATGCCACATCTTGTAAGTTCACCATTTCTAAGCTACCACGTCCAGATGTTTAGTACCGACACTTTAAAGCTCGGCAAGCTTTTAACTCCGGAACAGATTGCTACGCGTCGTGCGAAGCGAATTCAGCGACGAGCAGCTATAGGTGAAGATGCTAAACCGACAGACGTAAGCAACCAGTTGTTCATTGAAGGCTCCGTGCGATTCTACAAACGTCACTTTGTGATTGTGGAGCCCGAGGATACGAATCCGATTGCTTGGCCAGCAAAACTAGAGCAGTCGCCAAAGCATATTTTGAGTCTGTATATGGCCGCATTAACGAACCTTTACGGGGAAAACATCCGGATGGCAAAGATAAGCCCATTGCTCCTGACAGCTGCAATTCCATATACCAGTATATGTAGCAGTGGACAGTGGAGAGACAGTAATGTACCAACAAAGAAGCGAGAGGATGACGCACATGATCTTTTAGTGTTTCCCGAGTCTCTGCGTGTATATGATGTCGTTCCATCACAAAGTAAGTCAACAGGTTTGAGCTTGTACATTTTTCTAAACGATGTTGACGGCTACTTTGATGTAGTTTCTAACTTGGTGAGCATGTCTTTGGACAAGAATTTGGATTTTCAAGCTATGCTGGAAAAAGAGTTAGAGACTGGAGTAAATAGTATTTTTGACAAGTCATTTTCTAATATGAGTGCTTTTTTAACTTGGCATTAGAAATTTCCGGTATAAGCGAATGGAAGAAGGTTTACATTTTATGGTCTGCGGTCATGTTGCCAGGTACATTGATGATATGAAATCTCGAAATGCTATAATATCTGAAAAATTATTGTTTTCTATAGAGACAAACGCTGTGGATGCAGGGGACCGGAATTATTGCAGTGGCTCAAGACTTTGACACACAAAACAAATAAATCAGTACATTTGTATACGTCTAGTCATTTCGGGGGTCATCGATACGCTGCAAGTTGTATTGTATACCCTCGTGGTGACTGGTTTGGTCTATTAAACGACAAAAACAAGGCAAAAACAATGCTTCAAGCAGTTCATGATGAAGATCCACTGCAATTGTACGAGCTGTGGCGAGGTCGCTTAGGTCTTACGGTCGAAGAAATGCTACAAACCGTAAGAAAGCGAGTCAAAAAATCCCACAAATCGTCTTCACACGTCGTTTAGTAGAATTTTAAATTTTTGAAATTCTTTTTTGCGATCATGCACACAAGAATACGATGGTACTTGTCAATTTTGTGCCGGCTTTAATAATACTATTCTAATCTGCATCGTTTGTGGCCAATTTTGTCGCCAAGTTGCCACCTTTCTTTGATCGATTATATTATTATAATACACTTGAATAAACTGATTTAATCTGTAACGTCACATGGCTTGTTAACGCAGTTCGACTTCTGGCTTGTTCTTTCCTCTCTCCGGCTGTACCAACTTCTTGTTCCAATTCGAAGATTATTTACGTCCCTCCACCATCTCGACCACAGCTTCATCGTCATTGCAGTGGACCGAAACGTTCATTTTATTCTTGTTTTTATCTCTTAATTAAATGTATCAATTGCCATACCACACCCATTACCTCAAGTAAATGAAACTGTGTGCCAGTTCCAGTACCAACCCCATTTTTACCAATTTGTACACCAAAAGTTATGGCTAAAGACACTGTGTGGAGCCTCCGTACCTCTGTATACATTGTCTCATACAAATCTTCTAACTCGAGTCAGGTGGAAGAGACGGTGTTACAACACTCAAGCTTCGAGTCGAGAGGACGGAAGTGCAGGGGAAGGGCAGAGATTTAGTCTTAACTTTAGTATTTAATCCCACGAGAGAGAAGAACAGTCGGTAGCTTAAGCTATACACAATTCTACACGGCAACAAGGTCGAGTCATTTGCGGATTTCACTCAAGCCAGCCACTGATCTTCACTCTTGTGGGACATTTTGCACACTTCCGACATAACCGATTAAAGTGGCAATTTATCATGGACACTGCAATGGCAGCAACAATCATTCCGACCCCGAATCTTTCAAGTCCTAATAACAGTTTTGGACCTACTGAAGCACGTGCAGCACCAATTTCTGCCTCTCGTTTTGCTCAGCGTCGTCTTCGTGTCGTCACGGTACCAAAACATAGCAATAAAATGCATCGGACACGTACACTCAGTGAGCTCATTCTCCTCTCCCCACGTAGCAGTCCACGTGTGACACCACGTCACAAACGATTTGATATGGATATTGAAGTCTCGAGTTTCTTTGCTGAAGGAGAAGGTCTTGTTGATTTAATGGCTAGTAGTCGGAATCTACGACGTCAGAGTGAACGTCACTCGATAATCGATGAAGAAGCTACGACGTCAGAAACTCAATTTTTCCCCTTTTCCAGTAATCAACATGAACAAATGGACGTAGATGAAGCTGAACCAGAACTTGAGCCGGAAATGGAGATGGATGAAACGCATCATAGTGTGGGAGAAGTCGTTGACATGCTCTTTGAGATCCATTCGGCTTTAAAAAGCCGTCACTTAGGACAACGAACTGCTGCTTCGGCTCTCGCTGTGAGTAACCTCGTGAGTACCCTCGCGTACCCCACACTTGAACCTATTCCTCGTGATGAGCAATTGGAAGCACTTGAAAACACACGCAAGATGCTTGAATGTGCCATTTGTCAAGAAGTATTTACAAATGCTACTGAAGCTACGTGCTGTGGCCAAATCTTTTGTAAAGATTGTATTGAACGATGGGTAAGTGAACGTGGATCGTGTCCTATGTGTCGTGAAGCCATTGGATTTTCACTCTTGGCTCCATCACGTCATGCACAACGAATGGCTAATGAAATGAAAGTTACATGTCCGTACTGCTCGGAATCAATGAAGAAGGCAAGTTTGAGTGACCACATTGTAGTATGTGACCAAGCACCCGTGGAACCTCCACCTCCTGCTGATGTTGCATTACGACAGTTACTCATTCGTACTGCGAGACTTAATAGTGCCATGTTGGCACACTTTCTTATGACCCCATCGCCTCCACAATCACTCATGATGCAATGCTACATTCGTACTCGAGGTGGTGGAAACTATGAATTGTATACCCAAGACTCGGATACATTATTATGTACCGCTGTGCGTCGTCGACAATACGATATGTCGGTGAGTTTTATCATTTCCTTAGCGACAAATTTAGATCTTTCGACCAATCAGAGTGAAGATGGTGGATACCCACTAAATGCACCAATTCCCGTTGCGCGATTGGACAAAAATTACATGGGGTCTCAGTATACAATGTATGATATTAGAGGAGAGGTACCCCTTGAGCTTGGAGCAGTTCAATATGCAGCCACGTTTGGAAAATCGCCTCGTCAAATGCGAGTGGCTTTGCCACTAGTAGCTCCATTGGAGAATGTTGATAGTGCAGTGGACGGTACACCGTCGTGGATGGTACAGCCGTGGAGACCCGAGAGTAAAGAGGACACAATCTTAGCGCAAGTAGAGAACCCGGACACTGCTCGTGCGTTGCACTTGATTAACAAACCACCTGTATGGATTGAATCACTTGAAGCTTATTGTCTGGATTTTGGTGGTCGTGTGGCTGCTGCATCCGTAAAGAACTTTTTGCTCTCACATCCGGATGATATGGACAAGACCCTCATGCTTTTTGGACGCACACAAGACCGTCAAGTGTATTCGATGGATTATGCTCACCCTTTCACCCCTGTGCAAGCATTTGCCATTGCTTTAAGTAGCATGGATTCTCATCTTGTGACATTTGATTAGACAAGCATGGGGTGACGCTGTGATGTATATGAAGTCTCGTGATTAAATGAAAACGTGGAGTGATAGCATCAACGTACTCAAGCGTCTGTGTAAGTTGCTCGTAACCTGTAGATCCTCCCACAATATGCCGTCGTAGATAGCTTTGACGTGTAAAATAATAGCATCGTATTGCATTTCGTACCTTTCAATGTATTCTTTTTCAAAATTATTGTACTATTTCGATTTATAGTATAGGTAAGTTCAAGAATTAACAATCGTCCAGACGGTGCACATGTGGCGTAAGCATCACCAAAATATTGATGAAATAATTGAAGCTTACATATTTATTGTTCCTCAAGAAAATGCTAGCATGTGTATGAAGTTACTTACGTGCATTCAAAGTATTAATTGACTGTTTCTTGAATAGGAGAGCTTTCAAGTAAAAAGCTGTCGTCCTTGGCTACTTGGCTCTCTTTAACTTTCGTCATCAATGATACAACCACAGTTACAACTGGTGGGACAATTAGCGTGACAATAAATGTAATCATGCTGTTTTGAGAATAAAGACCTTCGGGCAAGATAAACCAGTTAAATCCACCCAAAAATTTACCCTGCATAATGACACCACAAATAAAGATCGTGACCAAACCAGCAGCACTTCCAGCTAAGGCGCCAGAGCGAGTCGCACGTTTCCACGTGCCAAGCAACATTGGACCCACGGCAGCCGTACACAATAAATCAGCAATTAAATAGAGCGTCAATATATCATATTGTTGGTAGCCAATGACGATCGCCGGTGCATTCAATAATACTACAATAATGACATGTAAATACTCAGACCAATAATATTTGCAGCCACAAAAATCTAGTACCTACCACAAATGATGCGTGCTTGTAGAAGCGAAAGGTTTGGAAAACACGTCGTTAGCTCTGCTACAAGGCCCATCTGGATTGAATCCGAGACGCCACTTGATAACATAGCAATGACCACAACAATGAGAACCTGCCAACCTTGGCCCATATCAATCAAAATTGCAAAGAACAAATCTCCGTCTGGATACGCGAGATACGAGACCATCCCCGCGATTGCTAGTGCCACTGTAAACAATGCAATAATACAGCTAGCAATATATGAGGCATTGCGAAGGGTTTTATTGTCATACGCTGCATAAACGCGTTGCCAGAAGCCTGTGAAGAACAAACTGGCAGCTGTTACTGCAATATTAAGCGTAACGAGTGTTTCAAAGCCTGACGTTGTAAAGGCCGCAACTTTTGTATCCGACCATGCACCATCAGGGATAGAAACATGAAGAAACATGGCAATGCATACGACAGCAACGAGACCAACGACACCAATACCTTGCCATACATCAGTAGCAAGACTTGCTCGAAGACCTCCAATCGTGAGGTATAAATTTGTTAAAAACGCTACAATAAGTATTGTAATCATTGGTCGTGCATTTGGTGATATCATTGTCGTAAGTTGCGCAATCGAAGTATATTCCGAAGCAAGGCATATAAATTGGTAAAACATCGCAATAAATCCAACGTAAAGCTGCATAATATACCCAAATCGGGTCGAGACAACGTCCGTCATGGTAACATTTTCACCCAATGCTGAACGCATATATGGTCCAACAAATGCCAACACTAGCATTCCCACAACTCCAGACAATGCATAACCAATCACCCCCCACGATCCTGCATCGACACCAATTTGAGGGAATGCAAAAAGTGTACCTGCTCCAATACCCGCCGAAAAGAGACACCAGGCTAAGCGCAATGTCGAAGTTGAGTTTTTGGCACTAAAATGACAAGAATGTCTAGTTTATAAGGTAATGAATAGAAATGACAAGTAATATACCTGACAAATGCAGTAACCGTATTGATTTCCATGCGACGACTTACAATAATGGCGTATAGTGCGACAAGAAGAAGAGTTGTAGCCATAACAGAGTAAGTGACAACACTAGCAAGCATCTGGACAATCTGTAGATACGAATCAATAAGATTATAAGATTTTTAAAAGTCAAATTAACAAAACAATCGAATACCTGAAGTAAATCTGGACAAGAATCATGGAACAGGACACATGAAACGTCAAAAACAAATGAAAGCAGCAGTTCCTCCGCCGGTATGAACCGGATCAGGTTCAAAGGGTTTTATCTCAGCCGGTCAACGCATGGAACTGGTCCATGGTTGGCAATCGACACCCCTCGCTGATTGAATTGTTAGTTTTACACAAACTTTACACGAAGAGAACAATGACATACAAAGATAAGAAGCAAGAAGCGATGATGTACCAAGACGCAGGTTGTGGATGGTCGGTGATTATCAAACGTAATTTCAAACTTTATTAATTCGTAATGTAAATTTTCATAAATAAATTCATGTAACCACACATCAACTCAGATACATCTGATTCTACCACGATGCCAACGTACCTCCTCCCGGTTACGCACAATTCACTCTCATTCGCGTCCTCCCTCTTACACTTTACATCTTCTTTCGCTCCTACTTTGTCGTCTCAAGTCAAATTTTTAATTTCATCACGTTCTCGAGACATCGTCCAATCTCTCCGTCTACACTTTCCCAGTCTTTTAATCTCTCATGAACATGAGACGAATCCAGATTGGTCTGATACACGAGATCTTCGCGAAGCTTTTGGTAGATGTGATGGAGTGATTTTAGCTGCTAATGGATGTGGAGACGATGTAATGAATTTACCAAGCAATTCAATGGACGAGTGGTTATGTTGTGAACAAAATATTGCATCTCTTGGTTTGAATAATCATCGAGTTATCAAGTTATCGTGGACTGAAGGATTCGTGACCGAACATTCTGCTTCTACTATAGGGAGACAAAATTGGAGGTTGGAAAAGGAATTGAAACGATCATTTCAAGATAGACCAGAAAATCTGACGATTGTACGAGCGTCTACAGGTATGGACGCATTTCTACGCGGGCGACTCTATGATTTAATTTGTGGACGAACATTGTCAATGAGCGTCAAAACAGGACGTATTGCTTTTATACATCCTCTAGATGTTGCAGAAAGTTTAAGTGCGCTGCTCATAAAGGATGCACCTGAAGAGTTATATAAGCTCACGGGACCTGAAGCCTTAAGTTTTAAAGAAGTTGCAGATATATTCTCATTAGAAATTCAAGATAAAGTGACCTATTCGTATTTTCCATTGTGGGCAGTACAACCCGCGCGATGGGTACGAGGCGTGCCTGGTGATGCAATCGAGGAGGAATTAGGAATTGCTCGAGCGTTGGAATCTGGGGCGCAACAAGAAGTCGAATATGGGACATTGGAAAAGTTACTGGGACACAAGCCACGCACATTGCGTGAATTTATAGCCGAACATGCAGATGCATGGCCACGCACTGATCCAAATTAGCGTCTGAAGTGTGGACATAATATGCCCACACCTCATAATTTGATTATTATTTTGGATCCAAGTTCTGCATCTCTGGGTGCAAGCTCGAAAGTTTTCAAAGCATGTGCTAGCTAGGGAGAATTAACACAGTTGTCGTTTAACATTCGCTAGGTACTCTATCTCTAATAGTTTGTACTTAAATCCTTGATCAAACAGCCTACATAACGAACAATTCATCACTGTATCCAGGCCAATGTATGCTTAATTAAATTTGGTATGGACTAGTTATTGCTATGATCGATTCCTCCAGCCATACGTTTACTCCTACCATGGCAGTTCAATAGCTCGAATCTTCTTGTCCGAATTCAAAAACTTACCTGAGTCCTTCAATGTCAAATTTGCTAAAATATTCGCCATGGCCTCTGCCGATTCCGAAGGTTTCAAGTAACCTTTGTGATTGGTCATATCGGTGGAAACGTATCCAGGATTGATTGTCACGAGTCCGATATTACTTTTACGTAGACTAACAGCCATTGAGCGAGTGACCATATTAAGCGCAGCCTTGGATGCAGTGTAGCCAAATGCTTTGCTAAAAAATGCTTCCATTTTCGGCGTATTGTTGCTGATGCTACCCAAAGTGGTGTTCAATTGCGCGACATAGGCAGCGCCGTTAGTCTGAGCAGCAAGTTTGAGGTTCGGCAAGAGTGCACGAGTCGTAAGGAATGGGCCAACTGTATTCACTTCATAGTGTCGCATCATATCTTCCTTTGAGCTTGACATGAAGTCGCCGTGTATCCAAAGTCCTGCATTATTCATAAGAAGATCAATTGGAACATCCTTCAGTTGCTGCGCAGCCTCGAAAATAGAGGCTTCATCACTCGTATCTAACGTCACAATCTTAGAAGGCGAGAGAGCCTTAAGCTGTTACATCAATCATAGATAGTTCAGTACGGAATGACTTTTCAAGGTATAGAAATGGATGTGTACCTGATCTGTACTGCTGTTGGCTCTAGCCGTTCCAATGACGTTCCAGTTGGCGTTTGCGTAGTATTTAGCCAGAGCGAGACCAATACTACGCGTACTACCCGTAATTAAAACCGTCTTTGTAATGGGTTGCATGACGAAAAGATACTTGCGTGAAGCGAAAAAAAGGCTACTGCTCTTTGGGTTTCGATCTGTTTTTAAGAATGAAGAGGATGCAATCCCTTTGTTCACCTGGTGGTTGGTATCTTTGTCCTTTCCCCGACTGGCTTCCTAGATCTTTTTGGTATCGGATTCGGACATACAAATGTAAAGTTTGAAGCACCCAAGCACTTAACTGAATAAAATTAACGAACTCAGTGTGTAAAGTGTCACGTATTAATCAAATACCATCTGATCTAGTAGATGTTAATTGCGTTGAAGAACATAGAATCTAAAATATTAATCTCATATCCCCAAGGGTAGACTGAGCAAGAAAACTTTATCACAAACTGAACGAATCAGCCGCATAATGTTTGGTTTGATGATCTTGTTGTACCGCTTGTAATTAAACTATTTTCTGTTTGAGTGAAGGCGAAGTCGACATGATTTAGCATTTTCGCCTTCTCGACCTATATGATTGGAATTACGTAGTAAATACGTCGTGAGGAATCGCCTGGCGATAACAACATCGAAAATTTTCACGATAGCAAAAAACTGTCACCGCGTCTTTAAGGCTATATCTTGCTCAATTGTAGCATACTATACTAAAGCTTAAAAATGAAGCGGCTCAAGATAGCGCTAGAACGTTTGGATTATGTTATATAGCTTAAAGACTGATCAATTTAAAAAAACTGATGTTTATCTTGCTCGACGGCAATGGACTGCGTACATGATAGCACAAAACCTTCAGAACTAGAATTAAAGTAAGCAGGTTTAAGTCTTTTGTTGGCGCAATAGAAGAAGACTGTGTTATCATATATTTGTAGAATTGACAGTGAGGGTAAGCAGTGAGAAGTATTCTATCCAATAAAGAAGATAAACGCAGTTGAAGATAAAAATGTGATGAGACTGAATCATTTCAATCCTCAGGACTCTATTTCGAGCTAAAAAATGTCGCTCACCTGATCAAGGTAAAATTAGCCAGCTTGTAGATACAGATTTTAAATATTATCATTTTGCCGTGGGGGATTGTCACATCGTAACCTCCCGCCAAGACCGTGATGTGCTGGACGCATTCAAGCGGTAAAAGTACTTTGGTGCCTACATGCTGAGATAGTAACTAAAAAGAACTGACCCAACATTTTGTCAAACCATTAGACTAACTCAAGCGACAGCCTAGTCCGCTGACACGTATCACACGTCGCAATTACCATTTGTACCTCTTTGGCCGATAGTAGGAATTGCTCCTTCAGCTGAGCTTCTCTTCTTCACCAAGTTGGGCAATCATGTACCCCGTAAAGTATTCTTTACTTGTGGCATTCATCATGAGATTTTAACAGACTTTGTGCTATAGTACACCGAGCCTAGCAATGAGAAGCAACGGTGCAATCGTGCATCCGAACGTTTTGCTCAAGCGGCATAGGCAACGGGGCTGCCACCACTTCACTGTGATAGAACTCGTCTAGTAGCTCTATGCTTAAAGGAAGTCAAGCTAAGGTCACCGACCCTACGTTCTATCAGAGAATCAGTACCAGTGTAGCCGGTTGCAATCCGCTACTTTTAAGTACTCATGCCTTACCAAGGCAAACAAACACTTCTATTCAGAAACAAGACTGCATTTAATTGTTTTAGTTGCGACAGAGCCGCCAATATTGACAACCCTAGATTTTTCTGATAAATATAGACATACTTAATTAATACAGCAAAACTAAACTAATATAGTATAATGCATTCATTACTCCTGGCAATCCTGCCACGCGGTGTCTTCTTGTTACAGTGTAGCCACACCACTGTGTGATTACACTAGCTGTGTCATACACACCTTAGTACAGTCGCACAAGATGGTGTGACCCTCCCTTTATCACAAGGGTACGTGTTACCCCGTTACAAGTACCATACCTACTAATTACGAAAAGAGCGTTATTGGAATGTGATTAACCGCAAGTCGTGCAATACATTCCGTATTGACTCTTTATGAAACGGAGTAAATCAGATATGGCTAATATAAGTCTTGATCAAACTAAGTTATGTATGTATGAGTAGAGCAAACTTGTTTCGATTTTTTATGACATTTGGCTCTGCTCCTGGTTAGGGCATGTAAATCCACTCTCTCTGCCTTAACATTAATTCTAAGCTTCCTGTACAAGGTGCCTAACAATTCGTTGCGGAGTATCTCGATGCTTGACTGTGCAAAGTGCACAGAGTGATGTCGAGGTCATCATTTAGTGCTGGACAGCCCTACATTTTTACAAGAGCTTGCAAATACAGTCAAATGTCAAGTCTTCACTTAAGAAAAGAGTATTCGTCAGTTCGTAAACGTCAAAAGTAAGAGGGTACTTTCGACAAAGCGGGGCCTGAAACTCTCACGGGGTTGTAGGTTGAGGTACGCTCGTCCGCTTCATAAGTTGCTTCTGAAGCAACCAACCCACAATCCGTTCTATATTGAATCCAATACTCTGACTCAAATGAAGACAGGCAAGAGATTTCCATCGCGTTTCTATGTCCTATAAGTTTTTTCGTTGTGGCAACGTGTCCGATCTCTCCAAAAGTCTCGACATACGGACGATACTCAAATGATACAACTTAAAATGCATCCCTTTGAGCAACGCCATCATTTTGAGTTCCCTGGGCGTTTCCGAGCTCCATCAGACGTTTCTTTAACATTAGCAACTTGCTTTGCACCGAACGGTACAGAAGCTTAGCCGCCACATGACTTAATAGGATTATGGAGCACTGGACTTGATCGCAATCATTTGATAATATTGAGTGTATAGCTCAATATCCTTGTGACTACGACGGTAAGACACTGGATGAAGCCTGGGCACAATTTTGTCCTATAATTTTAGACCATACATGTCTTGGCAGGTAATCGGCGGTCTCTCATATTTATTTGTTCGCAATAAATACTCGTGAGCTCCGTCTGCCTCTGTCATCTTTTGAGTGTCTTGCCTCCTACCAAAGCGTCGCGATTTTGTTGCATGACGCTTTATTTCTTTCAGGATGATTTTGTCGATTATGCGGCAATGTGTCGCAGGGATGAACAGCAGTTTTAGCGCAAACTTAGAAAAGAGCACGTCGCATCAGGGACATTTGGCTGTATACTTACCAGAACCGATGTCGCTGCACCAAGATGAGTAAATTTGCTCAGACGACCAACGAAGACTACAATTACGGCCCGATTAGGGGTGTATCGAAGTTGACCAATAATATTTCACCCGTTGACACGTCTTGCGCATGTGGCTACCCATAACATGTTGACCACCAGTACATACCTGAGCCATAACATTTGTCATGGCATATGTGACACCCAATGGGAGTTGGAGTGCGTGATAGATCTATTCACCTGAGTCATACGCTGAGTGTGTTGAAAAATGGCTATAATATTGCAAACCTTTAGACAAGGCAAAGTTCTAACTGCACCACCAAATGTTTTGATTCATCAAGATCCGATCAAAAGCCCCTTGCTTCTCAAAGCTGTAACAGTGCCAAGCAAATCACATCTGGCCAATACTCTATAGGAACACTTAGTCGGTGCTCGACAACTCCTTCGTAACATGCGATTGAGCATAGTCTGGGTGTCACAAAAGCGCAATAACAACGCAAAAAGTCGATCTGGTTTGTACCTGACTTCAAATTATATAAGTTGCCATCTTATGTGAGAGAAGCGGCGACTATGTCGCTGAGCATGATCCGAATAGATAACTACACATCGAGGGTAACATGTGTACTCCGAATGCTAAACTAATTTACCTCATCACCAGGTTCGCCTTGTCTTGTGCTAACACTTCAACTATGCAGCTTTAAGTTGACGAGAATTATGCGTTACGATACTTTTGTCCATTCAGCATCTACAATTCGTAAAGTGCAGCAATGGCAAGTGTTGAAACTTCATAGACGAAATATAACGAGTAACTTGGATTCGGAGGACGGAGCCATGAGGCTTTCTCTTGCAAGCCGGAAAGCCCGCATTTCGTGCCGCTATCTAGTACCTCTTTTGAAAAACGTTGTTGATACGCACGCACATGCATACATTTTTTACTTTTGTATAAATGAGACGACCCAGAACCAAATGATACTAATCAACCATTTAGAGTTATCA